CATTAATCTTTAGGCTTTAAAAAAAACACGATCCCTCAAAACCTTAGCCATCAATACTAAATGAATATCGCGTTGTACTCTCCCCGCAAAAATGAATTATGCAGTGTAGAAGATGACTTAAGAGGCAATAGTACATTTCGATTCTCGCACACTGCGTATGTAGATTTAACTGTTGCTTAGATGTCATCATCGTTATGATTACCGTAGAATGCTGGTCGAGGCAAATCTCCTCGCATTTTTGATGATAGCAAGGCTAATGCTTTCTCGGGTGACTAAAGTGGAGTGTTTATTAGGGTTAAAACATGCGCTTTGTTTGCTGATAACATCGTGACAATGCCCATCACTGACTACTCGATCACGCCTTCCATGCGTCCCCAATCTATGAAATAGTTTTTCTTAAGAGTTTATCAAGTGAAGAGGAGTGGAAAATTAGCGCAAAAGCCACGACTACTAACAACGATCTCCATTGGTCAGTCTTATAAATACTAGGGATAAAACATTCACCTGTATCACTGTCCCCCGTTGATCGTCGAGTGACTTGAGCGGGTACCAGTAACACTTCCATTTTTCCCTATCGCGTGTAAGAGTAGCCCAGTGGGTCCTCCTCGTTTTAGGGACTCGCTGAGCATCATATCTTTCTTCTATGCCTTTCGCGAAGAAATCGAACCATTCGGGTCGGTGGTCTTCCTTTAGAACAAAAAATAAAAATGACCACTGACATGCGTGGCTCAAATAATGATTACCAGGCATATTGAAATTTGAGCTGTGGTCTTAAGAAAACACTCGAAACAAAAGATATGATATAAAAAATAAAAAAGTAAATACTCAATAATGTGGAGTGCCGTGCAAAAACATTTGCGTCAGTTGGGATTCGAACCCAGATCTCACTCTTTCCAGGAGCGTGTGTTGAATTCATGCACCATCGACGCTTGTTTTGCACAGCACTTTTTTTTCTTACGCTACAACGCATTATCTGTCAATAGCCAACCGTCGACGGTCTGGCGGAGCAGCCTCTATCTGCATCGAACGCACTTATGTTAGGAGATATTGGATATCAGTAATCAATCGAAATTCATTTATTTGACCGCCTCTTGCCGTGGTATGGTCTTACAATATACACAATAATGAGGAGTGTTGTTCTGAAACGTTTGCGTTAGCCGGGAACCAAACCCAGATCTCACTCTTCCGGGAACGTGGGCTGAACCGTTGCACCACTGGCGCTCGTTTTGCGCAGCACTTTTTTTCTAATCTAGGTTCAAATCCCGGCTGACAGCAAATGTTTTTGCACAATAAATGAATTTTGAACAAGTAAACAAATAAAAATAGATAAATAAAGCATTAGCTATTTGAAACCTTAGGTAATGAACATGGTTTTTCAGTAATTGGCGATACTCTCCCAATCATTAGAGTATTTCAGTGAAGAGGCTACGAAGACTTACATTTTTGTTTTATGGGAATAAGTGTAATTACTATGAGCACTATTTTTCTAATTTACTGAAGATTTGATAAAGCCGAGAAAATATAAATTTAGAAGTATAAAAGAGATTAAGACAAAATCTATGTGCCGAATTCCCAACCTATCCTGAGTCTTCTTGCTCGACAAAGTAATAACTAGAAAACGATTAGAAAACTCTGAATTGAATACGACCATCATCCTCTGTACGACTTTGATCTCTTCATTTGCTCTTCAAATTCACATCTGAATGCTCCAATGCTACAAACTCCGTCAACCGAGTATTGAAGCAACGGTTTTTTTATTTTGAATTACAACGCAAACGCGATAACCAGAACAAATGCAATGCATGAGAGAATACCATCACGTCTAGCTGAACGGAATCCGCATATTGACTTGCTTTAAAATTTCAGGTCCCATTGAAAATCGACTAGAGGAATTACTATTATATACCGTTCAGAACTCTGACGATGTTAATTCAACCACAAAATCTATGAACTTGTATAAAATGGTTCAAAGTTAAAATCGGTCCTCATTTCCACCAAGTGCGAAGTCACATGTCATGTGAGTGGTAATTCTCTGAAGATTATCGGCTTTCATTGTTCTCTATCACTGATATATTTACTCAAAGTGTCTTTCAATTATGGTTTGAAGAAATTTCTGGTTTATCGTCTAGCTGATTCAGTCAAAGAGACTGTTCGTGTCGGTTGTGTGCCACATTTGCCCAAAACCTTGCCTTTGCGCCATAAAGAGAATCATATTTCTCATTTATAATATGAAAGCGAAGAAAAAAGATCAAAATTGGCGGAAAATTCATGTATAAGTAGTAGGGCAGTGAAGACATTGCCATAGAACGAATACTTTACATTTTTTGATGTCTAATTACAGTACACGTGCAGAGGAAAACGATAACGCAGAAGAGTGTAAAGCATTCAAAGTCAGTTGATCTTTAGAGTACTCCGTGGACTCAGTCAATTGCAAATGCATAGCTTTACTTCCGCCTATTCATATGAACTTCGCTCAAACACAATGACAATCTGATAATCTGATAACATACTTTGAGCGTTTTCCTTTGTAAGTAAGGAGTATATTCCCTGAGAGGCATCGGCTGAGCCGAAAGGTGCCGTACTACCGATGAGCCTGGTAAGGCGAAACAGCTGTCTAGTATAGTATAAGTGCCATAACAGACCTCAAAAATAGGCTCAAGACATGTTATCAGATTATCAGATTACTAAATGCATATTTGGCTCCTGCACTGCGAATTGCGCAGCCCAACTTAGATACCATGTCATTGTTACTATGCTTCTTAGCAAACCTGATAAAAATTTACCGATTGTGGAGGTAACGAATGTTTGCTTGGCCTTACGTGCTCAGCTCACAAGATGTATGAAATTCATTTGCGCATAGCCTTGCGTAAAGCAATAATTATACACTTGACCCGTTCGGCACAGCATGTACCTGTGCTGGTACACGACTGTTTGAAGGTCTTATTTGTTGGACAAATTTGTCATACATTTACTAATTATTCGAAAGCTTAAACCTTGGAAATTTGGATGAGGAGTTTCGCATCTAAAGAGCTCTTCGTAATTCGTTGTAGCAGCGACAACAAAATTATGTATCACTCTCGACCTGCTTTATTTGCTCTGCTGGAGTCTGTGGATGGCTTTTAAATAAACCTTCGATAGTCATTCGACATCCCAAATTTCTGAAAACGAATACTACGTTCTGCGCTGAAGTAGTTAGCCCGTTGCTGGAGCTGCATAATGGATTCATGATACGTTCCGGTAAAGTCCATGTGCGAAAGGCATTTCATCAGTGAGAAAGATAAAATTACACCAAAAAATTTTACTACGGTTGGAAAGAAAGTTCTGGGGCACTTAAATAAGCATGAGATGGCTCCCATGCATAACATGGGAATGTTACAGCTTCTCAAGTGGGATTTCCCACTTAAGGCCTAGACATTATTAGTCTTTACATTTACTTGCTTAGAAGCCTCCGCCATTTCCAACGATACAATCAAAGTTCGTGTTTATTTCGTCGTTAGTGGAGGAAGGGCCTCTCACAGCGAACTGCAGTCGATGAAATCAGCGAAGCTGAAGGGGAAGGCACAACAATCAAATCTGCTACTGGACGCTGATTTCAACGATTTGATACCGTAAATCTTGACCTCGAAGACAAGCCTCGTTAAGAATGCCCAAAAAAGTTGTACAAGAAAGATTTGATTGTTGCTTTGCAAGATGAAAAGTCGTCAAGTGCTTGCGAAATGGCAATCGAACTTGATGTTTCTCATACAGCTGTGCTAACTCATCACCACCAGCTTAACTTTGCCCACAAGAAGCCACACAAGATGCGTATGAACTCACTGAAGCACAATCCGCCAAAAGGGTCAAACAAAACTTGTCGCCAACTGCTCAACAATCCACTGAATGACCAATTTTGAAAACGGATCCGAATCCGAAACTTGGCGGACCGATGGCAGCAAGTCTTAGAAAACGATGGCCTTTATTTTCAAGAAGAGTTATTATTGTTTTTGTTTTGAGTTCAATCATAAATTTCCAGATTTGTACAAGCGCCTCAAAACTTTTGTTCCAACCTAATAAAAAGGTATGTCTTTTAGAAATAACGGTCTCGTGCTAAAGAAAATCTCTTGTTTCCGTAAGAAAAACACGCCTTGGCAAAAAAAAGAACGTATTTTTAACGGTTATTAGAATTTTTTTACGCTATTTATACTTTTCTTCCACATTTTTGCCACTAGATAGTTTAGTAATTCTGACTTCAATATTCAACCTTTGATGTGAAAAACCCCTATAGTGTGTTCTATTAACGAAAAGGAGATAACGTTTTGCTTTTCGTGTAATTAGCCGGTCGTTTGAACTGCATAACAGATTAATTGGCAGTTATTGTGATTTTTGATTCTAAAAAAGCTTTATTAATACGGAAGGATGAATTGCTATCGAAGCGACTCCTAAGGAGCTTTTCTAGTAAAGATAAAGCCCATTTATCCTAAGAATTTCTAATTTTCAATACGAAAGCTACGTCCCTAGGATAACAGCGCATTATCAGCTCTTTTATATACGAGGAGAAAAACACACCTCGCTTTCAATGTAATTCTCCCATAGTTTGAACTTTACAGCGGATTTTGTTGGCAGTGATATGCGCCGGGAACTTCGTCGTCACAAAAGAATAGCACATTGCTGTAGAAATCTTGATAAATATTTCTAGTAAGAAAAACGTTTGTGCGTCGTAATAAGCTGTATTTTTGGAAAAAAAACCGACATCCTCCATAAATGAGTATAATTCCAGTTTTTAAGGCGCATTATCGCCTATATCGTGAGAATGGAACTGTCTTTTCCTAACTGTCATTTGTTCGATGGCCATAGATATGTCTGTATTACAATCAGTTCCCATCTATCGGGCATCTCCACTCCGCAAAAGTCCAATAGTTTCGTGCACTTGACACGACACCATCTTCAACCAGCTCTCTCCAGTTATCTCTTAACCGATGTTCCCTTGCTAACATTAGGCGCAATGCAGTTGGAGTATCAAAGGTTTGCCTGCTTTGGAGATTGATAAGGTCAAAATAACTCGAAATTTGCACAGTCGACCATTCCGAAAGCACACCTTCGAAGACAGTGAATGCAAAGTGAGAAGAATGAACAAACAAAAATACGAGTGCTTACTAGTTTCGAAAGTTTGTTCTAAAATTTTATTCATGTCCCAGCTCCTAAATTACACTAGTACTCCAAAAGACTATTGAGTGTTATAGATGAACTGGTATCGCATGCAGTATACATCATCACTTCTGACCGACTACTTGTAGTTTTCTATATATCAGTCGCTGTGACGAATTTCGGGTTTTACATCCAATGAAAAATTATCAAAACTCGAAGATTCATGTCGTAAGTTCTTTTGGACAGCATATTACACTTGATTAAGTGCCAAAAAAAGTATGATTGCGCAGTCAACCAATACTTTTCTGCAAGTATAGAAGCTGTATATGATTCAAAATTTATAAGCGCGTAGGGTAACCCGTAATGTACCAAACTAGAGCAAGACACCTAGAATTCTTCCAAAACGGTGAAAAACCCTAATAAAATAACGAAAATAGCGCGCCGTCTTGCGGTTCGCGCTGCGTGCAACGTCTATTGCCGTCCTGAATGGTTTAGTAATTTTCATTATGACAGGTATTCATAACTATGTAGCGAATAGCAGGTTTGTGTAAGCCCAATGAGTTTTGCTGCTTGAAACAGTAGCGCTTGTATAGCATAATCAGAGCAAGAATATTACGATGCTTACTTAGTGGATCTTATGTCCATCAATATTCGCAAGAACATCTCTTTATTAATAAGACATCGTAGGGACACTTATTCAGGGACTGGCCCTAGTGTAAAAACTGCTCTCGACTCGACAAGCTGTCGAATGACAGCAATAATATGACGAAAAATTTCGCGAGCTGAGAAAAACAGGTGAAGTGCG